CAAGGCCATGCGGTGGCGGACCGCGCGGTGAGAGGCCCCCTGGGATCTCGAGGTCGCCGCGCGGTCCGTCACCACAAAGTTCTGGGACCCCCAGTTGCAGTGGAGACCCATGCCAAGCAACACACTGCTTGCCTCCACGGTGCCCTGGGTTTATTGGGGCTTCGATGGTCTTGTGATGGGAAGCCTGACGTCCCCGCAGCAAAAACCAGTGGAGGTCCTGGGGCCTCAGGGTTGGGCTTCTGGTGGAAGGGTTTCTGGGCTGGACCTGAACGTTGCTTTTGGCGATCTCGCGGGCCGTTCTCGTTTCGACTGCGTTTTGCGGTAGAGGCGGAGTCGAGACGAAAGCGGGGGAACACGAACACAAAACGAACAACACTGCTCAGGTCCAGGCCTGGTTCTCTGTGGGCCTGCCTCCGCTGTGCAGGCCGCCCGAGGACCGTGGGGAGCCCTCCCCCACGAGGGAGGAGCCGTCCGCTGTGCGCCTCCGCGGGGAGTCGGCGGGCCGCCGGTGGCGCCCGGAGGGCGCGGCGCTCGCGGGAGGGGGGGGGGGGAGGCGGCGGAGGAGGCAGCGGGGCAGCAGGGGCAGATCGGGGAGGAGAGGGGGGAGGGCGAGGGGGAGGGGGGGCAGATGGGGACGAGGAGGCGGGAGGGGGGAGGAGGAAGATAGCAGGGATGAGGAGGAGGAGGAGGAGGAGGAGGAGGAGGAGGGGGAGGAGGAGGAGGGGGAGGGTCAGACGCTTTCAGACCCCAGTTCCGATCCCGATGCCGAAGGGTGCGCTCCAGCGTTTCAGTTACGTTGAGGAGGAGGAGGAGGAGGAGGAGGAGGAGGAGGAGGAGGAGGAGGAGGGTGAGGAGGGTGAGGAGGGTAAGGAGGAGGAGGAGGAGGAGGAGGAGGCCCACTACCGCAACACGGCAGCACTTCGACCTCACGGAGTAGCGACGAACCAGCGTTTCTAAACACTCCTGACAGGAGGGCATGCACCACTCACCCCTAGCAAGACTGCGGCAAAACAAGACGATGCACAATGGCTCAACACCTTTTACAGCGACGACACCCACATGAAGTGTGACTGGGCGGTCAAAATTCGGGGCACCGCAACGCTGCTGCAGCAAATATGCACCCTGACCACTAGTAGCACCAGCATGCCCACGACACTAACTGACAGCGACAGCACCAGCGAGGAGCACACAAACGGCAGACAACCAACACGACAGACCACCACCACTCACTGTACCCCCACCAAAAATCATACCCCACCGCCCGAGCAACGAGCACCTACATTGCCTTCACAATGAACCATGCCCGTGGCTCAGACTGACACAGGTGGGCTTACCGACAGACCAGCAGTACCTACCACCCCAACCACCAAGCCAAACACCTCTTGCTAAGAATGCACCACCACTCCACGCCACGCACTACCCCACACCACAAGCAACTACTCCAATGACAAAACAGGACGTCAACTTCAACCCTATGCTAACACACCAGCCCAACCGAACCACTGCCCCTACTTCACCAACCCCGACACCGACACCCTACCAGCCAAGAAACCACCACCTTTCCCCACCTACGCAACCAACAAACCACCTCAGCTACCAACGACGACATACATCACCAAAGACGCGCCGACCCCACGCACACAACATACCCCGCACACAAGAGCGATCTCCACGTGGTCTCCTACCATGAGATTAGCCATACCAGCATACCATCCACCAGCTGTACCCCAGATACCAATCATCTGCCCACCACCCGAAGAAATCATGACACAGAGTTGGGTACAGGAGGTGCCTCAAAACACCAGGGCACCCCAGACCTACGCTACGTTACAAGCCTACTTCCCACCCCATGCAGCCCATGTGATCGCAGCGCACAACACGGCAGCGAGACGAGGCGACCAGCACCTCCTCATCGACATCCGCCGCATCATCTCCGCACACAGCACAGGAGACCCGACCTTCTACATCTACATCGAGAGGCTCCGCTCACATCAGACACGATTCGAGCGCTTCCTCGGCAGCCTTCACAACCACTGCCTACCAGAAATACCTTACAAAAGAGCCTCCACCCAAGCCGATGGTGCGACTCTACAAGGCACCAGCCGAGCCCAAGCCGAAAAGCTACGACGACAGCGGCCGCGGAGCACACAAAGTACACACTGACTCCGACCTCACCTCTTTGTACAGGGCGGTTGGCCTGCCAAGCCACTCAGCTTGGACCCTCTGCCCCCCCCCCCCTGGGGGCTGCACCCTACCGACTGCCGAGGACTACCGACATCCCGCACACCCCCTGGATGTATAGGGTTTGGTATTCTCCTCCTTCGGTTGCTCACGGCGCCTACTTCCCCATGTCGTACCCGTCGCTGCTGCTTGCTTCAGCCGGCCTCGTCTCTGATGGTTTATCCTTATTGCATCACTGTAGTATCTCAGTTGTCTTTTCTGCCCCCACGTCAGGGTAGCAGACCAAGAATTGCACGCGCTTTGCCTGTCCTCCAGAACAGCATGTTTTACACAGAAGTGATTTAGCTAATCGCTTTATCAGCTCACCCAGTCTCACGAGCCTAGCGGCGAGCCCAGAGGCCAGCCTTCAAAGGCCCGCCTAGACAGCACTTTCGCTTGCCGCCTCTGTGCGTTCACCTCCTTGTCATCAGCATACTGTTCCCTACCCATGGCAAGTAGACGGAGAAGGTGGCCCCTACATTGAGGAACCGATGAGCGGGCCGATTGTACATCCCCTGGCACTGCAGCATGTTTGTGACTCAAGGGTAGCAGCCCAATAATTTCACACTCGCAAGCAAACGTGCACGTCGAAGCTGAACTTCCCATGTTTGGGCCTTCTACATTAGAGCAGCACTTAGCTACTTCAACCTCAGGGTAACAACCCAAGAATTACACACGTTGCCGGCTCCCCTTTTTACTTATCACCCACTTGTTCCTCCCCTACCCCTCCCGCTAAGGGTAGCAAGCCAAGAATTGCATACCGTCTTGCCTTTTTTTTTTTCTCATCTTACGTGGACAGCGAGCAGCCAGTCCGCTGCTCACAGAAATGGACTGGCGGTGGTTGGGTTACGCTAGAGGGAGAGGAGGAGGAGGAGGAGGAGGAGGAGGAGGAGGAGGAGGAGGAGGAGGAGGAGGAGGAGGAGGACACACTTTGCAGGCAGCCATGCACCTCGGAGCCAAACTCTACGCATCCTCTTGCCTGGTACATAGCAGCAGCACTTGTCTGCTTCAGCTTCTGACCTACTTGGACGGGAGAGCAGGCAGGCCGCTGCCCTCAGGAACAGGATAGGGTACAGTCGGGGCCCTGAAGAAGGAATCCTTTTCGTTGGGGAGGGGCTCGGTGTTCCTTGATTGTTTTACAGTTTGACTTGGGTTTTCTTTAGGTTTTCAATGGTAAATCGAAGCTTCACTTATGGAACAAAGGGGCCTCGTTCCTTATTTAGGGTTCCTTAGGTCAACGCCCCGATTGTAGCAGCCCCAGAATTGCACACGTCGATGGCAGCAAAACACGCTCAAGTCCACTATGGTTTTTGGCATGCTACAGCACAGCAATATGCTTTTTACTTTCAGCCTCAGGCGAGCAGCCCAATGGTTGCACCTACCTTTGCCTGCTCCTCGACATGCTACTAGATGCTCCTCACCACCCCTTCCACCTAGGGTAACAGCTCAAGAGTTGCATACCGTTTTGCCTCCTGTTCCTTCTGCCCCATGTGGACAGGAGCAGCCAGGCCGCTGCCCACAGGAAGTGTATTGGAGGTGCGTGGAGTACCAGGGGATGTGGAAGTGGCGGACAATCACTGACTAAGAGTAGCAGCCCAGGAATTGCATACAGCCTGGCCCTTTTGTTCAACAGCTGAAGGCACGTGAGTATTCTGCCTACACGCACGTTGTTGCTACAACACACCTTGACATTCTAGTATCCTGCATCTTGTACCTAAAAACGAGGCTACGTTGACACACACACATGCTCTTATGGTTCGGGGGCAAAGCTTACTAGGGTACATGCTGCAATACCTGGCGGGCGCCTACTGTTTTCATGATTCTTGCCGCAGCCTCTCTTTGCCACCTTTTCCGCGGCGCCCGCCAGGTACCCTTTGCGCCAAGTCGTTGTTTATGTATGCAACAGCGCCCCAGTCGTAGGACTCAGGTCTGGGCAACCCAAAGGAAGGAGGAGGAGAAGGAGGAGAAACAGGACGATCTATGGGACCAGCCCGTTGCCTGCAGTATCCAAACGATGATTCGCTTACACAGAAGAGCCATGTTTCTCACGTATATGTTTAGAATTGAGCACAAACATGTGCAGGGGTTCTTTCCGCGGTAGTCAGACCGATTGCGCTTTGGACATGAATTTGGAGGCAGGAGAAGAAGGATCGGAGATGACAGGGAAGGAAGCGGGAGGGAGGGCGGGTGGGATGGAGGGAGGGCGGGAGGAAGGGGCTCGAGGAGGAACGAGGGTAGGCGGGAGTGAGCATGATGAAGAGGAGGAGGAAGAGGCGGAGTAAACAGGATAACCAGGTGTCCTCGGGACTTGTCAAGGCCGTCTGGGTAACCACACAAGCCTACCGTGGTCGGGCGCTGGCAATGGATGGGGGAGGCCCCCGGGGCCGGGGGGCGGGGGAGGGAGGGCGGGAGGGAGTAGGAGGAGGGAGGAGGAGGAGGAGGAGGGGGGAAGAGGAGAAAAAGGAAGAGAAGGATGCGGAAAAAGAGCTAGGAGGAGGAGGAGGAGGAGGAGGAGGAGGAGGAGGAGGAGGAGGAGGAGGAGAAGGAGAAGGAGGAGGAGGAGGAGGAGGAGAAGGGGATAGGAGACTGGAGGAGGAGGAGGAGGAGCAGCAGCAGCAGGAGGAGGAGGAGGAGCAGGAGGAGCAGCAGGAGGAGCAGGAGGAGCAGCAGGAGGAGCAGGAGGAAGAAGGGGAGGCGGCGGAGAGGGGACCCCAGAGGGGGGCCCAGGGGGGGGGCGGAGGCAGCGGAGCCCGAGAGCCTCGCCGCGAGCCGCCCGGGAGGCCGGCGGCCAGCGTTGGCCCCCCGCGGCAGCGCGATGGGGCCCCTGGAGCACAAGGAGGAGGCCGGCCCCCCGCGGTCGGCCTCCGCCGCCATTCCTCGCGGCACGAACGGAAAGGGTGCGGGAAGAGTGGGTACAATGCCCAGCAGCAGTCCCTGTTCATTTTGAGCAGGGCTCGCTGTCCGCGCCGCCGCGGCTGTGTCCGTTTGAGAGAGAAGGCCGCCTGCCCAACAGCGACCGCTGTTGGTTTGGGACAACATTTGTTGTTGGGCATTGTGCCCGTTTTTTCTGTACCCTCTTCGGGCGTCCAGATCTTCTGGAGATTGGACAAGCGCGTGGCAGAAAGAGGTGTGGTGCCAGTCGTGGACCTGGCGATGCGATCTACGATAGATCACCTCGCCAGGTCCAGCGTTGGCACCATACCCTTTTTACACCACACCCCTTTTCCTACCTCCAGAGTTCCAGGCCTCCTAGATGACGTCGGAGTAGATAGGGTCGGAGGATCGCGCTGCATAGCCGATGCATCGAAAATGCGGCTCGATGTGGAGCCCGATTCCGCGCTGGCGTCGCCTATGCATCGCCGATGTCGCCGATGCATCCCCGATGCATCGCCCATGCATCGCCGATGTATTGTCGATGTGGCGCGATCCTCCGACCGCATCTTCCTCCGACCCCATCTAGGAGGCCTCTTAGCCATCCGATGGATGAAATCATCGAGAATAACAGAGCCCCGAGGCCTGATAACACAGCGAAGACGTGGCCTCACTGAGGTCCCCGTCTCTGCATCATGGATCATATTTCTGGAAGGTTTGGTGCGCTACGCCTGCAGAAAGGACCCCCTACCTATCCCTAATGCTTGTGGCCCTTCTAACTCAGGTCCCCTCCAAAAGTGTCAGGGTTTTTTGGCTAGGTATGAACATTGCATAAACACGAGCTTTCGGAGGTCCGCGCGGATTGCTTGGATCGGCGTTGGACCCCCCTGGCGGCGCCTCCGGCGCCGCCCCAGGCGCGCTCCGCGCGCCAGGGGAGAGGGTCCAGCGCAGTTCCAAAGGATCTGCGCAAAGGATCTAGATTGATGCTCTCGCGGATCCACTGCAGTCTATTCCCATTGACTTCATCCCATGCGTCGCATGCTCTCCCCGAAAGCTCCTGTCCATCAAGTTTTTCTGTCACTCTATCAGGAGGAAAAGAAACACACAGACACAATTAATCCTCGATTCCTCAAACAATATTGGAACATATAACATATGGGAAGTAGGGGGGAAGACAAAAACCCGGAAAATATGGGAAAATATGGGGAATCATTTTATTTGTGTGTATTTATTTGTGTGTCCTGGGGCCTCTTCACTCTAGCATGGCAGGCGCAGCTGCTTCCACGAGCGAAGGTTCCCCGCGCCATTGCCTCCAAAGTTACTCTTGCAGCACCCGGGGTACGTTGCCACGCGACTTTGAAGGAAAAACGAGGGAGCCCAGCGCTCACTGGAAACTCGGGCGGCATGGAGTGAAGGGGCGTGTCCCTCTACAGTCAGGAGGGAAAGAAACACACAGACACAATTGATCGGCGATTCCCCAGAAAATATGGGAAAATATGGGAAGTGGGGGGGAAGACAGAAACCCAGAAAACATGGGGAAAAATTGGGGAAGGTTTTATTTGTGTTTATATATATATATATATATATGTGTGTGTGTGTGTGTGTGTGTGTGTGTGTGTGTGTCCCAGGGCCCTTTCATACAGGAAGAATATCCAAACATAGTCAAACAATCGTCAGGGATGACTTTTGGAGCATGTTTGATAAGTTTTGATTTGTGTGTTGCCATTTATTTTATTTTTCGTCGAACACCCACCTGTAGGAGGACACGCCCGACCTGACTCCAGGCCTTCCAGATGGGGTCGAAGCGGGTCGCGCCGCATCGCCGATACATCGGCGATGTGGCTCGATGTGGAGCCAAAATTTCCCCGCGCCGACGGCGCCGATGCATCGCCGATGTATCGGCAAGGAGGCGCGATTCTCCGATTCCATCTACCTGGACACCATCTAGGATACCTTCAGGTACACCCCAGGCCCTCGTAGCGGACAGACATCTAGGCACGGGCTGCCTGCGATCGCTCGGCGTGCCTTGTATACCACGCCTTCGAGGTGTCATTGAGGTCTCTTTCGTCGAGCGAAAAGGGCTCGCGAGGCCTCTCTCTCGCGTCGTCCTTGCCCCAGCAGGAGCAACCCAAGAGCATCCAGGGGGGCACAACAAGGCGGGTCGAGGGGCAGGAGCTCGGGCTGGTGTCAAGTCGGGCCTGTCCCTCTACGGGAGGAATGCTAAGAGATAGTCCAAAGATAGTCTTGGGACAATGTTCTGATGACTATTCGGGGGCAGTTTTTGAGTATCTCGAACTTTTCGCCCAGAATCCGCCTGCAGGGGGACACGCCCGGCCTGAGGCTCGCGCAGGCGTACCACGACCGGTGAGCACACGGCCGTGTGCACCCGAGAAGTGCGTTCCTGACAGGGGATCGTGGCCGACCGGACGAGAACAGCCGGCATGGCGGCGAGGGCACGGATCCTGGTGGGCTCGTTGTCCACCGCCACCACCACGAGCAGGAGGGGAAGGGGTCGTCCTCCTCCTCCTCCTCGTCCTCCTCCTCCTCCGCATCCTCGCCATCCTTCCCCCCTCCAACTTCTGGTGGTGGCGGTGGCGGAAAACAGGCCCCTCTGGTCCTCAGCAAAGTGTGGCGACGTCTCAGTCAGCGGTGGACAAAACCCCCGACAGTGACACGTCGATTGGTGAATTGTCCGTTTTCGGTTCTCGAGAGGGCGCCGCGGCCGTCATTTTCCAGGCTTGCGCCCGCCAGGTTTGGGCCTCAGGTCGTTTTCACTACACCACGTTTTACTAAAGGGGGGTCTGTCCATCTCCGACGCAGGCGAGGCCTCGCCGGACCGCTGCCGCACACACCGGGGCTGTCGCGGGCCCCCCGTGCCCCCCTTTTGCGCGAGGCGCTTGCGGCGCAGGCCTTTGCGTCCCAGCCCTGCGGTGTTGGGGACTCATTTTGGCTCTAGATTCGGGCCTGACGAAAGGGGGGATTGGGAAGGGGGGGGGTACGAAATCTGCTGTATGCAGCTGGTGTCGGCCCCACCGAGGGGCCCATTTCTCCATACATGGCCGCCTCCCGGCGCCGGGAGGCGCCGGGAAAATCAGCTCCGTGAGCTGATTCTCACCCCCCCCCTTTGCTATCCCCCCCTTTCGCCCGGCCCGATAGATCACTGCTCGCGCGTGTTCTCCTTGCGTCGCCACGCCATGCTATGTCATGCTACGCGTTAGTCTTCAACACCACCATATGCCATGTAATGCCACGCCATGCTACGACATCCGACTGTGCGACTAAACAATCTACGCCGTGGTAAAAGACGGGAGGGAGGGGTAGGACGTCAGATATGACACGAGCGCACCTAGCTTGCCCCCCTCCTCCTTCTGCCTCCTCCTTCGCTGCTCCCTAGGGGGCTGTGGACTGCGCAACTGTCGCCACTCTCTTGGGCTCCTGGGAGACACAGCGGGGTCGCGGAGTACGCGCACCCAGCCGAGACCTCGCAGCTCCCTGGGGGGCTGGAAGTGTTCAAGTGTCGCCACTTTCGTGGGCTCCTGGGATGCACGGCGGAGTCGCGGAGTACACCCAGCCGAGACCTCGCAGCTCCCAGGGTGGCTGCGGACTGCGCAATTGTCGCCACTTTCGTGGGCTCCTGGGCGGCACGGCGGAATCGCGCAGTTCGCGCACCCAGCCGAAACTTCGCAGCTCCCTGGGTGGCTGCGAACTGCACAATTGTCGTCAGTTTCGTGGGCAACTAGGGAGGTCCAGCGGAGTCAGGGACCACGCACACCCAGCCGAGACCTCGCAGCTCCCAGGGTGGCTGCGGACTGCGCAATTGTCGCCACGTTCGTGGGCTTCCGGGCGGCACGGCGGAGTCGGGGGACACGCGCACCCAGAAGAGATTTGATTGCTCCTTGTGTGGTTGCGAACTGCGCAAGTGTCATCACTGTCGGTGGCTCCTGGGAGGTCCAGCGGGGACAGAGACCACGCGCACCCAGACGAGACATCGCTGCTTCCTGGGAGATTACGAACTGCGTAATGGTCACCACTGTCGTGGGCACTTGGGAAGTCCAGCGGAGTCGGGGGCCACACTAGCCGAGACCTCGCTGCTCCCTGTGTAGTTGCGAACTGCTCAACTCTCACCACTTTCGTTAGCTCCTGGAAGGTCCAGCTGGCTCGGGAGCCACGCGCACCCATTTGAGACCTCGCTGCTCTCTGGGTTGCCGTGAACGGCGCAATTGGCGCAATTGTTACCAGTTCCGTTGGCTTTTTGGAGGTCCAGCAGAGGCAGGGGCCACGCGGTTGCCACAGAGGCTGCAAAGTGCGCAATAGTCGCCTTTTTCGTGGAGATGAGGGCAGCGCCGCTCATACAGATCTGCATATCTGGCGATGTGTTTTTGTTGCACGCAGCGTTCATGGAAATATTCGTCTCGCGTGGTGAGGCGGGTGGGTACGTTTCGGGGAGTTTTCGAAGACGAAGACGGCGAATCTCCCCCGTCCCCTGCCTTTTTCGAAGTGCCTATGGGGCCGATCTTCGTGGCCATGTCCCAGCCCAGCCGTCGGACTCGATGTTCCCCAGACGTTGTGAGGGAGAGGAGGATAATCATAATGATAGGAACACATAAGAAGCCGAATGCTATTAGTAACATGTATAATGATAGTGATAGTAATGCTTATACTATCGCTGAGGAGTATTACGAAGCATTCACTGACACTACAAACAATACCAACAAGACGAATACTACGAAGCAGGCGAACACGAAGAGGAGGAGGAGGAGGAGGAGGAGGAGGAGGAGGAGGAGGAGGAGGAGGAGGAGGAGGAGGAGGAGGAGGAGGAGGAGGAGGAGGAGGAGGAGGAGGAGGAGCAAGCAGGAGCAAGGAGGAGGAGGCTTCTTGAGAGCCCATTGGGGCACTCTTGGAGTCTCCCAGAAGCTTCCTGGGGGCCTCTTGGATGCCTTTGGGGAGTCTCCTTGGGCCTATTGGGTGCATTTGGGAGTTTCTCGGGGGCCTCTGTGGTCGTCGTATGGCGTTCCTGGCACGTCTGACGCAGTCGGAAGCCGACTTTAGGGCCTCTCTGGGCAGTCTCATGGCGCTTCATGCACTAGTGGGAAACCATCTTGGGCGTCTTGAGGCCTCTTGGGTCGCCTTGGAGCCCTTCTGGGGCCGTCTTAGGGGCCGCTTCCGCCGGTATGGGGCCATCTTGGAGGCCTCTGGGGCGCTGTGGGGTGCGATCTTGGGGCGCTCTTGGGCAGTTGGCGCCGTCTTGGGCCGTCTGGGGCTGAGGCAGTCTTTGGGTCTTTTTGGGTCGTCTTGAGCGCCTCTGGCGCCATCTTGGAGCCCTCTTGGAGTGAGTTGGGGCCCTCCTGGGGGCCTCTCGGCCCGTCTTGGGGCGGTCCTGGGGGCCTCTTGTGCCGTCTTGGAGCGTTGGGAGCTCGAACAGTCGAGGACCCCAAAAATTGAAAAGCTGATGGGAAATCAATGATGTTGCCCTCTGGGGAAGGCTCTTGGGGCTCTTTCGGGGCGTCTCGGAGGCGTCTTGGGCCGTCTTGAGACGATATTGGACGTCTTGGGGGCCTCTTGAAGCTCTCGTGGCCCGTGTTGGGGGTGTCACGCGACAAGTCTCAAGAAGACGGAAGTTACAGGAGAAATGTTGGGTCCCAGCCCCTTAAAGACTCCTCATGAGTGAGGGCTGATGTTCAAGAGATTTGGCAGAGGACCTGAGGACACGCCCACTCCGTGCCAAGCGGCACGGTGGCGGACTTACTTCTATTGCGAAGGCCTTACGGCCAGTGCAACAGACATTGAAGGCGGGGCCTTCCCAGGGGCAACCGCTGGCGACCCCACCCCCCAGGACCCACCAGGGTCTTGATGGGGCGGCAGTTTCACCGGACGGCGACGACAACGACGACGACGGCATCTCCCACACGCCGAGGGGTCGGCGCAGTGGAACGCTCCTCGCGGAGCGCTGCCAGGGAGCAGAAACAAGCACGACAGCAGGTCTTGGGCCGTGTTAGTAACCAGGGGGGGGGGCGGTCCTCCTGATGACGTGGTGCCTCTGGCCCGCGCCTGACACATCCAATTACTCGATCCATACTTATCAAAATATCTATCTAAAACATACAATTTTCATGTTTTCAATATTTCTCAAAAAAAGTTTCCCTGCTCAGGGGGCACATCTGGGCCTCCGAGATGGGGTCAGAACAGATGGGGTCGTAGGATCGTGCCGCATCGTCGATGCATCGGCGATGCATCGGTCATGCATCGGCGATGCGGCTCGATGTGGGGCTGAACTTTCTCAATGCCGACGTCGCCGATGCATCGGTGACGACGCCGATGTATAGCCGATGCATCGCCGATGCGGCGCGATCCTTCGACCACATCTACTCCGACCCCATCTAGGAGGCCTCTAGCATAGAGGACCTCCTCGCTAGAGGCGGCCAACCCGGCCCCGAGATCGATGCTAGTCGTAAGTCGTGCAGGTCCCTCCACAGGAGGAGTATTGCATATACGAGCAAAAGAAAACATAGTCTGGGGGCGATTGTTCGTGCTTTGTTTACAAGTGTTTGCTGTTGTTGCTCATGTTTAATGTTTCTTCCAGACTCCAGGCCTGGACCCTGGCGGGAAAACATTGTACAATCACAGCTGGGGAGCTCCTTTGTGTCATTGTTCCTCCCTCCCTACAGTTGAAACCCATGCTAAGCAGCACCCTGTTTGCCTCCAGGGTGCCCTGGTTTCCGCGGGTTTCGATGGTTTTGCTTTGGAAAGCGCGACGTTCGCACACCAAAAATCAATGATCGTTCTGGGGTCTCAGTTTTTTTGCTGGGCCGGCATTCTGTCAGTTTGCCGCTACGGGGGCGAGTCGTACTGCTTGGGCCCTGGGTGGCACCGCCCCGACATGTGGTGTGTTGCCAATGACGCTCGCGGAGGCAGCTGTCCGTCACACGCGCAGTTCTGCACTCCCCTGTGCGGGTCGCGTGTGGCGGGCCCCCCCCCACCCAACCCAACTAGGTGCATTCGCCTGAGCCACGCACCGCCTCCCGCGGCGTTGGGCGCCGCCGCGCGGCGCCACGACCGCTCAGCGCGCGCGTAGCCCCTCCCCCAAAAAATCTCGGGTGTTTTTTTTTGTGTCGTGTAGATTTGTTTTCTGGTCGAGCTCGTACTGTACTGTTGTTCGCCTCCGTTGGCCTCCCTCCTCCGCCGTCCCTCCCCCCTGTCGGTGGCTCGACCCCAGGCCTCGGCTGGGGGGATGGACTTCAGAATGTGCTGAGCTCGATTACGGGATCGACTACGAATCGACCCCAGACTCGATCAGGTATTTGTGAGCCAGGATGTATTTGCATCGTTGAATATGCGGAAACTTCGGCGTCAGATGCATCTTCAAATCTACGGAAACACGCACACACACATATATATATATATATATATATGTGTATGTACGTATATGTATATATACATATAAATTTTCATATATAGATATATATATATATATGTGTATATATATATATATATAGTCGCCGTGTAGGCCCACAGCGCGTCGATGTTTTCGTGTCGCGGACCCGAGGGAGCAATCAATTTTGGGGGCAAGTCAGTTCTGTCGACATCCTGCTCGAAGGTTGTCGTCTCATGATGTTCCAACCTAGTTTAGCGTCGGTCACAAGAAAGAATCTCGAACACCAAGAAAGTACCGGAAATAGAGGGTTTACACGTGTCGGGCCTTTCGGGGGCGGCAAAGAGGAGGGTGATGACCAGGGGTGTGTGGATATCATGGCGGGGGCCACGATATTTCCCCAGCTTTCATGGCGCCTGTTCTTATTTCGTTACGTCCCTGGCCCCCCTGCTGGGCCGCGCACGTGCCGCTGGTCATGAGTTGCGCCCCCCCCCTCTTGGACACCCCCCTCTTGGCCGCTCCCGAGCCTTGGGAACCGATAGTCGTTCGACACTTTCGATACTTTTGCGTGTGCTCGAAATCCGGGGTTTGGTCCGTAGATACGATGGGGGCAACCTACAGTCAAACACCCGGGCAAAGACGCGCGACCTTGCTCAGGGTACCCTCACGTCCTTGCTCTTCCTTGCTCTTGCGTTCTTGAGGTTTTCGTCGCCTGCCGCCCCAAAAATCCCAACTTTGGCTTCCAAGGGTCTTGCGTCCTCACCGCGCGTCCTTATTAGGGCGTTTGGCTGTAATTCGGGGGGCGAACCAGCTCTGCCGTCGATATCCAGCCCGAAGGCCCACGACGCCACGCCCTCACAGCGTCCATTGTGTCGCGCCAAATCCGCCTGTAGGAGGACATGCCCGGCCTAAGCATACAGTGCCGTTTTAAATACATGCTCCGCGTGCGGATCATGTATTAAATATGCAGGGCTTTAGTACTAAAAGCAACGATGGGTTAATGCATAAACTTCTTTATGAATTAATCATGTATGTTTTGTTTAACAGAAAACTATGATGAAACATAAAAAATCCGATGTATTAAAAATTGCCCTGTAGTAAAGAGGTGCGATTGTTTCAAGGTTGCCCCTGCATCCTCGCATCCAACTTCGTTCGACAGAAACGTTGACATGGGTTTCCATGGCCCTCGCATCCTGCAGTGGGGGGCCCATGCCAAGAAACACCCGGCGTGCCTCCAGGGTGCCCTGGGTTCTTTCGGCTTCGATCGTTTGTTCCATGGAAGGCGTGACGTTCTCGCACAAAAATCGATGGACGCCCTGGGGTCTCAGCGTTGGGTTTCCTGTGGGAGGTTTCTTGTGGTCGGGCCCTTATTGTAGCCACGCATCCTTCTGATACGGGTCGATTGTAGTTGCTGTCCCGACGCGAGGGGGTCGGGGCTCCTCTGGCGGGCGCACAGCGGTATATGACACAGAGTTTTCCGTCGTTGAGGGCGCCTGCCCAGGGCAGGGCTCGTTTCGATTCCTCCGATTCGATTCGATTCGATGTCGACGGATTTCGATTCCGATTCGATTCGATTTTGGATCTTGATGTGGGCTCCGAATTCGCCAACGGAGGCCCTTTAGCCTGCTGATTTTCGCCGATTCGACCTTCCCGACTCGGCTGCCGATTTCCTCCGATCCGATGTTTTCCGGTTGCCGATCCGACTTATCGGTTCGATTATGGGATATCTTTCCCAGGGCGGCTTGGGAAGGTCATGCCCTGATGTGCCACCGTAGGGGTACAAACTTTCCAGCCGCCTTGGGACAGGCGTCCCCGACGGCGAAGAAGTTTCGTTCATGCCGTCCTTCGCCCGTCATATCCTCACTCCCCCGTGCGAGCACACGGTCACCGGAAGAAGTCTGGTGCGTTGTCTGAGACGGCGGCGAGCTCACGGAGGGCTCGCACGATACGCGATCACCCCATCGCAGCATTTCTCCTTTTTCTTCTCCTGTGCCGATCCTCCTCAGCCGCTCCTCTCCCCCCTCTCTACCTCCTCTTCGTCTCTTCTCCTCGTGTTCGTCCTCCTCCTCGACCTCCTCCCCTCGACCTCCTCCCCTCCTCCTTCGACCTCCTCCCCTCCTCCCTCGGCCTCCTCGTCCTCCTCCTCCTCCTCCTCCTCTTCCTCCTCCTCCTCCTCCTCCTCCTCCTCCTCCTCCTCCTCCTCCTCCTCGACCTCCCCCTCCTCCCTCCCCCGTGGCCCCGCGCCCCTCTCGACCGCCCGCCCCCCGCCCCCCGGCGAGGGCAACCGCCTCTTCGGGCAGCGGGAGTGGCGGCGCGCCGCCGAGGAGTACACGAAGGCACCCCCCCTGGCGGGCCGCTGCGGACACGGGTCAGGGGCGACGATAGGGGGAGGGTAGGCATAGGGGGGGCAGGCATCGACCCCCAATCGCCCGCTGATCGCCGATAGAGGTCCGACAGCCCCAACCAGTCCAGGAAGGTGCCGATGCACTACTGGGGGCCTGTCGCCGATGCATCGGCGATGCATCGCCGATTCCGGGCAGATGCATCCCTCCTCGTATGCCAGCCTCCTCCTCCTCCTCCTCCTCCTCCTCCTCCTCCTCCTCCTCCTCCTCCTCCTCCTCCTCCTCCTCCTCCTCCTCCTCCTCCTCCCTCCTCCTCCTCCTCCTCCTCCTCCCCCCCCCCTCCTCCTCCTCCTCCTCCTCCTCCTCCTCCTCCTTCCAGAGGGAGGGAGGCGTGGGCTTGAGCCGTGGGAGACCTTTCCCCGCGGTGCGTTTTGGCCTGCGCCCAGCCCCGTGCCCGCGGCCCCGTGCGCGCGATAGGCAGGGGCGACAGCAGCCTTGTGTCTGCCCAGCGGCGGACGTGCAAGGCGTTTCCAGCGACGACATCACGATCCAGGTCGCCGGCGTGGCATCGTCGAGGGCGGCGCCTTCGGCAACGTGCACGTCACCTTCTTCGGCTTGAATCAGCAAAGGAGTTGCTGGCAGCGCATCACGGTTCTCAGCCCATGGGTGGAGGGCGCGGAGGCCGTGGTCAGCAGCGCGATGACCCGCGTGAACCTCGCTGGTCATGTGCGGCTACTCGTCAGTGCGGTTACAATCGTAACTTCGCTTCTTCAACGCGGTGCTACATGTGTGGACGGGACAAGTCAGGTCAGCCAGATCCTGCAGGGCCACCAGACAGGACTACGCGCCGCCCCTCCCGCCCAAGATCGTCGGCTCGCCTTCCCACAGGCGCTGAGGATGAGGCGGGAGCATCCACCGAGGCTTCTGTTTCCGACGAGGTGGCCAAGTGTCGCCGTGCAGTGGGAGCGCTTAAGAAGCTTGGACTTGATGATAACTCAGCTCTTCTTCAGCAAGCAAAGCGTGATTTGGGCGTGGCAGAAGCCAAGGAGAAGGCTTCTCGCACGCCCGACGACCTCCTACGACGAGCGCTCGACCGTCAGTCAGCCAAGTCGAAGGAGGCCGAGGAGCTCAAGGTCTCTGTCGAGTCGCTCAAGAAGCAGCTCGAGGACAAGCAGACGGCCTACGACGCGGTGGTGGTCGAGCTTGGCCAGATCCTGGCGGAGGTCAACGTGGCTCGGGCCGCCGTTCTGGCGCAGACAGGTGCAGTTACCGTCAATCACGGACCTGGTCAGCCTGATTTCTCTGCCGCCCTGGGGCGCCTCGAGACCATCATCCAAGGAGTGCCAGCAGCCATTCTTGCGGGCAACGCCGAGACGATGGTGGCCTCTTTGCAGTCGCAGTTCCAGGCCCTTCAGCAGGCGGCTACTCAACCTCACCCTCAAGGCCTCAATCCTACGGCATGGGACAGCCAGCTATACGTTGACGACGAAGCCGAGGCTGAGGGAGGTTCGTGACGTACAACATCACTTTGATATGCCTAGGCTATTCGACGGAGCGGTTCTGTCACTTGACGACCTGCCTCTGAGTGAACTGCCTGTGCCACGGTTGGAGACCCACAGAGATTCGAGCGGCGTGAGGCTATCGACATCTGTTCCTTCAGCCACAGTTTTGGAAGCTACTGCCCCCGTTGGCACGCACGATACCCCACACGCGCATGCGGAGCCCTCTGGTGGCGAGTCGTACCGACCTTCGGGCCTCTGGCCCGTAGGCACGCACGGCTCGTCATCGGTGCCCCATGCCTCAGGTGGCGGGTCGTACCGACCTTCGGGTGGCCAAGCAGAGCGCCGCGGCCATCGGCGTGCACCTCGTCGCGCTCAGCGGCGATCTCTCAATTTTGTCACTTACAATGCCAATGGCTGGCAGCGGATACGATCTTTCTTGGAAGACGGTGCTGCTGGTGCTCATCTGGTTGCCTCCCAGGAGGTTCGAGTTCGGGGTGATGACAGGCGCCTAGCGGAAGAATGGTGTGCCAAAAACGGTTGGAAGGCCTTCATCACGGACTGCTTCACAGGCCCAACTGGGGCCATGATGGCTGGAGCTGGGCTTTTCGTGCGCAGCTACATAGGGGTGACGTACCTAGACAGCTTACCACATTGTCATGATCATGTGCTCGTCCCGTCGTGGTGCGTGGGAGTGTATGTTCATGGAGGCCCTCGAGGAGGTTTTCTCGCTGGGTCCATCTACTTGCAGCAGGGCTTGGGCCTCGCGCATGACAACCTAGATCGGCTCGAGAGGCTGGGCGAGGTGCTCCGCTTCTATCGAGCCCCTTTTGTCTTCGGCGGCGATTGGAACCTGCCGCCGAGCGTGCTGAGTGAGTCCGAGTTCGTGGGCAAGGTCGACGGTCACCTGATCGTCGCGGACGAGGGCTCCTACAGGGTCGCCAAGACAGGGACTCACACTTTCATCGACTATTGGCTGGCCAGTGACAGCATGGCTTCCGTGATGGGTAAGCCGCGAAGGGTTCATGACTACGCTCCGCGCCCCCACTATCCCACGTTTGTCTCGCTGGGCGCAAAGCCGAGGGCGCAGCAGGTGATTCGCGTTCGCGGCCCCAAGGTTTTCCCTCCACAGCCTGCCAAGATGCCGAAGTTGGACGACAGTGACTCCGATGAGGACTTGGTGGAGCTAGGCGACCCGCAGTGCTCGCGGACGTCGCTGATGGAGGCTGATGCTCGGCTTGGGCCAGGTGACGCAGGGGACCGACAGCAGCGGCTTGACAACTTATATCGGCAGTTGTATCAAGGTGCTGAGCGTGAACTTGTTCCACTTTTCTCTCTTGATAAACCTGAGGCGCACGTGGGCCGAGGGGAAAGCATACAATATCACCACGTGACGGCAGGAGGTGCTCTGGCTCATCAGAAGCCAGCGGGCACCTGTACGTCGAGAGCGCTGCGGCTGTTGCAACATCGTATTGAAGACGTGGCGCATGTTATTCAGAAGTTTGGCAGCGTGCCTCAAGGCAGGCATCATTCTATCTGGCAGCCGATCTCAGACTTGATGGCAGGAAGGGGCCGTATGCGTCGTTTGGCGGGGTGTCTTCCCGACGGGCTTGCAGTGGAAGTATCATCTTACTTGATCGCCATATTCAGCCAAGCCGGGCGTCATCAGGCAGTTTTGTTGCGCAGCCTCGCTGCGGTGCTCGCCAAACTTGCACATAACGTTGAGCAGGAGTGTGGCAAAAAGCGAGGGCAAGGTTTTGTGAAGTGGTTACGTGATTGTCTTGCTCATCGGTCTCGGCCTGTTCATCTGTGGTCCAAACCGAAGGGCTGGACGCTCTCCCAGGTGCACACCTCCCTCGGCCCGTCCAGCCATGCGTCCGACGTCGCGGGGGTCCAGAGGGACTTCTGGGCGAACATCTGGGAGGGGACCGAGGAGCCTACGTATGAGGATGGGCTTCGTGATGAGCTCGATCGTCTTCGGGATGTGGGCCCCAGGCTGCCACCGATGGGGATTGCTGTACTCCGACGGGCCTCCAAGAGTTTCCCAACTAGGACCGCCGTGGGGGCCGACGTATTCAGGCCGCGGCATTGGGCCTTACTCAGTCATTCGGCCTTGTCAATGCTAGGCTACTTGTTCTTCTTGTGTGAGCAGTGGTCCTTGTGGCCCAGTCCCATGCAGTTTGTCCACATAGTCCTCCTGGGGAAGCCCACAGGGGGCTACAGGCCTATCGCGTTGCTCGTGTCCTTGTACCGCGTCTGGGCCAAGGCTCGCATCGGGTACGTTCGTCAGTGGGCTTCGAAGCTGGGGAGAGACTACATCGCCTTGGGTTCTGGGAAGTGTACGACGGACGTTGCCGCACGTGTCTTGCTTCAAGGGGAAAGCCAGGTAAAGTCTCCTTCTCGGCCAGATGATGATGTGGTCCTCCATGCTATTGTAGATTTGGAAAAGGCTTTCGACCGTATCGGTTGGCAGTTGATTATTGCTGCAGGTAGGCAACACGGGTTTCCTGGAGCTTTGTTGTGTCTTGCATTGCAGATGTACGGAGCGAGTCGTCGGCTTGGATGGGAGGGCGCCTACTCTGACCCAGTGTGGGCGAGGCGAGGCGTCTTGCCAGGCTGCAGCCTGGCCATGTTTATCTTGCAGCTCGTCCTTCTCACTCCCATCGGCCCCCTGCTGTCTGCCACATCTCATGTCCATCGTGCTTTACACCTATACGCGGACGATATCACAATTCAGGTCGTCGCTAAGGTCAGGTACATTGTCGAGCACGCGTGCGAGGTGTTGTCAGAGTTAGCCATCATACTAGAGGACGTCGATCTTAAAGCGGCTAAGCGAAAAATGACGGTTACCAGCTCTAACTTGAAGCATGCCAGGCAGGTATGTCGTCGCATCGGCGTTTTTGGCTATCGGGTCGTCGACGCGCTCGAGGTCCTGGGGGTGGAGGTGGCTTCTAGCAGGCCGATTAGATACGCTCGTCTCAGGACCAGGATCGGGAAGATGAAAACTCGTCAAGCTCGGTTTCGACGCCTACGAAAGGCCGGCCCTATTTTGGGTAAATTCGCCAAGCAGGCCATTCCTGGAGCTCTAACATATGGTGTGGGTGTTCATGGGGCCCCTCCGTCACTTGTGCATGCCATGAGGCGGGCCCTCAGGGGCGCTTGGTATGAGCCAGGGAAACAAGGTTCGGCCTGGCTTTCTACTTTTCTCCAGGGCAGCAGCACGCAGGATCCGCAGGTTTCCGCCTGGGCCGACCCAGTCTTCCAGTGGGCGCTGTTGTGTTGGGACAATACGCTACGCGGTGTTCTGCAACAAGCCTGGATAAGACAAATATATATTGTTTATCGCGCGGCCAAGCCGTGGGGCCGTGTGGCAGGGCCCTGTGGGGCCATGTTATTAGCTATTCGTGATTTGGGCTGGGTGTCTAGGTCCGCTTTCGAATGGCAGACGGATCGAGGAGACAAACTTGACCTTCGAACGTGGTCGCCGTTATCCGT